TATTGCAATGACTACATATTCAACAAATGTTATAGATAAAGTGAGCAACAAAAACTAAGGAAAAAAATTTTCAAGCGTAGCCTTTGAAGTTTGAGCTCTCTCTCCATATCATATCACCCACAAGTCCACCACGCCTACAAAAAAGGATGTTTAAGAATAAAAGGCTGTACAAAACAAATATCATCTCAAGAAATTGAAAACATAAATTTACAACTAAAACTTACATAAGCTTTAGTCATTAAGAAACATTATTTTAATTTTGTAAAGCTTTGTTTGTAACATTCACGTCAAGTTCTGCAAAAAGAACGTGACAAATTAAGTATTTGTAAGGAATAAATAATAATACATAGTCACTTGAGAAAAAAATATAACCAAACTTAATAATTAGAATACTTAGTTACTTACTCTTCTTTTTCAGTGAAGGGAGCCAATCTTGTGTGGTCACCAAAGCTTCTACAGTTTCCAGAAGCAACGAAGCACGAAAATCATCAATTACTCTTCCTCCCACACTAAATGCAGCCTCAGACGCAACAGTAGTTGCTGGAATAACTAATATGTCATGAACAAATTTTCCAAGATTAGGGAATTTAGCATTATTAACCTTCCACCAATTCAAAACTTTAAAATTTTCAGTTCTTGGAAATAATGGTTCCTCCAAGTACTTCTCTAATTCTGACTTTTTCGAAGAACATGACAAATTAGAAGATCGAAATTGTGTTGACCAAGAATCAAACCCACTCAATTGGTCCTCTAGAAATGCCCCCATTCCATGATCACTACTAGAACCAACTTCTTGACTTGCTTCCACTTCAGATTGGGATGAACTATCATCATACTCATTGAAAAGGTTAAATGTTGCCTTACGAACTCTTTCAACATGTGTATGAGCATCAACACCATAGAGTTTATCATAATAATATTCAACCAAATTCATTTTAAATCTTGGATCAAAAACAATAGCAATTGCTAATACCAAACAACACTCCTCCCAATATTTAACAAACTTCAATTTCATTGGGACAGCCATCATACTCAAAAAGCCGTGCTCACTTCTTTCCCATTTAGATAAATGTAGTTGAATATTACAAACATCCGGAAAAAACACATTTGATGATGGAAATGAGAACCAGAAAAATGATTTGTTGCATCATAAAATATTCTCAAGCAATCACATAGAACTTTAGCAATTTTCCATTCTTCATCACTTGGATAGAGTTTATAATTATGATCTGTTTGTGATATGTGCCAAAGCACCTCTTTCATCTCTATTTCACTTTCAATCATCTCAAAAGTAGAATTCCACCTAGTAGAACAATCCATCTTCAACTTTTTCTTATCTTTCAACCTAAGTTGATTTTTTGCATGAGTAAATTTTTGTGTTACATATGGAGACCTTTTCAAATACTTCACAGTTTCTCTAACCTTATGAATAAACACTTCAATTACTTTTAACCCGTCTTGCACAATCAAATTAAGAATATGAGCACTACAACGCACGTGAAATAACTCACCTTCCAAAGGTATTGCAGACTTGTCACAAAGCCAATTTTTCAAACTTCTTACCATCGCATCATTGACAGTAGCATTGTCAACCACCATAGCGAACATTTTTTTCTCCAGATTCCAATCCAAAATCATATTAGTGATGTATCTAAAAAGGGTTTCCGCGTCATGAGGATATTCAATACATCTATAACCAATTATTTTTTTGTTCAATTCCCAATTATCATCAATAAAATGAGATGTCAAGCATATATAACCAATATCTTGATGATCAGATGTCCAAATATCAGTAGTTAGAGTGATTCCACCTGGGAGTTTCTCTAAGTGGTTGTGTAACTTTTCCTTTTCACATTTGTAAACTTCAAGGACATCCGACCTCACTGTATTTCTTGACACAAGTTTAAACATTGGTTGCAAACCATTACAAAATATCTCAAAATATTCATGTTCAGCCATATTAAAAGGATAATTATGCATGATAACCATCTTAGCAAAATCCATCCTACTTTTCAATTGGTCAAACTTATGATTTTGAACAATGGCAGCAGCCTCTGGGAAACTTTTGGATATGGATAGCATTTGTTGACCAATGTCTCTACTACTTTTCCCATTACACCTGTCCAAGTGATTCTTTAAGTGGCTAGATCCTTTAACACTCTCTCCTACGACAATGTTTGCACTTTGCAATTTTATTTCCTTTTGGCCCCTTAAATTTTATAAAATCATTCCATAACTTTGAAGTCAATTTTCGTCTCTTAGGAGAAGGTGGAGGTGAATCCTCAACTTGTATAACATTCCTAGCATCATCTTTTTTCTCTACTTCAGTGTTGAGCTCGTCAGACATTATATGTATCCAAAAAGCCCTAAAATCAAGGTCAATATGTTAAAACAATGAGGGAAACAACGAAACAACAAAATGAGAACAACAAAACAAGAAAAATTAGAAAATGAAGGTTAATAAGTTAAAACAATTTGAGGAAAACAAAACAAGAAAAGGGCATTAAATTTCTAAAGGCATATATACTGATGAAATCTTGTTGGAGATGACACATAAAGAAAAATCAAAGAAGAAGAAACCTTAATTTTTAGAAGAATATCCGTCCTTGCTACGTAGTCGTAGAGATAAAGAGTCGTAGAAACGTAAATATGAGCTAAAGATGGAGAATACCATGGGATTTCCATTTTTTGAATCTGATTCATCTACGGTCCAATTAGAATTTGGAGAATATGAAAGGTTTTTTTGAATTAACTAATTAATTTCTAGAAAGAAAAAAAGAATGTTCAGGACACCAAAATTTCAAACGTGGCTGGAAGAGATGATAATGTTAAGACCATTATCCTCATTTGTCGGATTGGCACTGGATTGGGATGGAAGTGTCAAGCCCATTCGTGTTTCAACATTTCTTTATTTTTTTTCCTCAATACACAATTTATTATAATATATATTAGTGTTATTGGAATTTAATAATTTTGACATCCTTAATTAAAAATTCATTAAAATTCATAAAGTATAAGATCAATTTTTTTTAAAAAAAATTGCAATAAATTATGTGATAATGTACAAAATATATTTTATTATAATAAATAGGATCAGATTTATCTATATCCATATTTGCTCCATTTAATTAACGGATTATCGGATTCGGATCTTAATCGAGTTATCGGACTAAGACCCTAAATCCATCTCTCATAATTTCATCGAATTCGGATCAAAATCCGATCCATTGATAGCCCTAGATATATATAATCTGTTTGAGCTGCATTCTTTTAAAAAAAATACATTCTTAAATAGTGATTTGACATCATTTTAACCATATATTCTTTAATAAAATAATATTACACACAAATCTAAAACTTTTTCTCATTTTTTAATCATACATTCTCTATCAATCTACTAATAAAAATACATTCTTTCAAAATAATGTGGCTCAAACACACTTAAGATTTAGAGTTGGATTTGTCTCTCGATGTGATGCCCCGAAAATTTTAGAATAAAATTTATTTATTTTATATATTATATAATTACATTTTTTTTAAGTTGAGGACTAAAATGAAAAAAAAAATGTTTTAAATTCCTATTTTATTTGATCCAAATAATTAGATATTGTTAGAGTGAGATTTAGTATATTGATATTGGACTCATTTTATAGGTCGTAATTAATTAGAAGTCTTTGACTCGAGAAAATGTTATTTTAAATAAGAACACATTAAGTTAGACTCAACTGAAAGAAAATGGGATAAATAGAACTTTATTTAAACTATAATTCAATTCATTTTCTCTCTCAAAAACGTGTGGGTGGGTATTGAATTTTAATATTATTTTTAGTTTTATATTAACCTATTTTGAATTTAATGTGATAGCTAGTATCCTATTTGGATAACTATGAATTTATTATTAAAATATAATCCAAATACCTAAACTAGGTTTTATCCAATAGGGTACATGTTTTCTAGTATAACTCAACCACTTTTTATTATTATGAATATTATACATGAATTCCATAATTCACACACCAAAAGTTATACACACGTAAGAGAGAGAAAGAGAGAAAAGTACTTTTGGGAACTAGAAGAGAAGAAACTATTTTGCAACTCTTAAATAAACGAGATAAAATACATATGTGCAAGTTGTTTTCGTTTCTATATGCTTTTATATACAATTAAATATGCATGGATTGCTAGTGGACCTTCGGGTTCTATAAAAAGAGAGATGAAATCCTACGATATATAAGAGGACTTAAGATGAGTGTGTCGCTTGGTCATCGATATACTCCATAAAAGCAGCGCGGTATGAAATATAGATTTTATTGTTATATATTTGTATATAGAAACAACATGTATCTTATTGGGTGTTTTCGAATACTCACTCTTATAAATTTTTACAGATTAGTTCGGGTCGATTGGTATTGTGGCGGGATGGTGATGCAAACTGTCATGTGAATCGAAGAAAGGAAAAAGAAATTTAACATTTCATTTGTTCTTTTTTTTATGTCTCTAAATTCTTTGTTAGTTTTATTTGTTCAAAGAATCGTTTGCTTGTTTTAAATTGATATTTATGGTTGAAAATAAAGAATTTTCTTTATTGAAAAATTGTTCCGCAATTATTATAAAGGAAATTGAGTTTTTCGTAACACTCCAGCGTTTATAAAATTTGGGGCGTTACACTTGATGAATCCATTAAAGACATAATTGCTACTAATCTCCCGTTTGGTAGAGATTTTTCACTCTAAAAAATTGATTTTTTTATCATTAATTCACTATTTCAGCCATTATTTTTAATATTTTCACTTACAGGTGATCCCTACTTTTCCTTCCAACGATTAAAAAATCAATTCTTATATTTACTGCAGAATAGGTCCTAAAACAAAAAGTTGGATAGTTAAAGATTAAAAGTGTGAAACACATCAGAGGTTGAGAACCTATAATGCTATTTTCAAACGTACATTAGCTTTACGCCTTTCTTTCCTAATATGCCATATTCCTTATGTACAACTTTCCCCGTAACTCTCGAGCATAAGAATCAGTGTTGCATTATAGAACTCCACTAACCAACGCAGATTCCACTCATGCTTGCTTGTTATTGCTTCTTTCTACTTCACAACTCAATAATCCCTACGATTTTTGCAGAAAAAAGATTCCCAGATGGCCGATCATAATCCTCCCGCCGCCGGCGCCGCCACCAAGGTTCCCGTTGACGGGAAGCGGAACATACTCATTACTAGCGCCTTGCCGTACGTCAACAACGTACCTCATCTTGGAAATATCATCGGCTGTAATATATTCTACTTTCATTCAGTTTATTTTGATTTTTCTTATGTTCGTAGACAAAAGTGCACGTTCGATTTTAGTGTTTTCTTTTTTTTGGATAGGCGTGTTGAGTGCTGATGTGTTTGCAAGGTACTGTAGAATGAGGGGTTACAACTGCATATATGTATGCGGAACAGATGAGTATGGGACGGCGACTGAGACTAAGGCCATGGAGGAGAACTGTTCTCCAAAAGAAATTTGTGACAAGTAATGGATATTCGTGTTTTCTTCGTAGTCAAATAATTGTTTCTTGAATTATTTTACTTTTTGTATTCTGGGTTTTTCTTAGAATTTTGAATTTTTGAAATCACAGTTTGAATAGTAACATAACATGAAGTTTTAATTCTATAGTATTAGTTATTAGTGATGGTAGGTATGATGTTTGAAACAGAATAAACTCTGATTCCTTGATGATAAAATGAATCTTGAATGTGCTTTCGGAGAATCAATTCTGATTCTGATTTGTGGTTCACTTTCATTGCCTTCATGGCGAGGAAAGATTTACCAGCCATTAATGTCCAGGGAAAATGACTATCGTGTTACTTTACCATATTCAGGATGTATCTCTGTATTCTACAGTATTATATCTTGGGTTTTGGCATGAAATCATGAGCTCATGCCCGTCAAATAAAAGTAATCTTCAATGCAGTCTATTTTTCATTCTTTTATGGTTTTATGATATCAAGGACGGATAATAGTGCTTCAAGTTTGGTCACATTTGTTCCGTTTTTCAAGAAGCCTTCATTCTATGCTTTATGTTGGGCTCAACTCTCGAGCAATGCAAATTACAGATAATTACCATACCGATGGAAGTTTTTAAAATGAATGATCCTGGTCGGAAAACTGGCATGTGTATACCTTACTGTTGGAATCTGCGCCAGAACTTCTATATAAAAATAAGCATCATTTTCTGAGGGATGAATGTGACAACATAATCTTAATATGCAGTTGTTTTTAAACCATATAGGGCTGAATGTACATATGTCTCTTTTTAAGTTTGTGTCCACTCTTTACATTGCTTTGTAGATATCATGCCATTCATAAAGAAGTATACGAGTGGTTCAATATAAGCTTTGATGAGTTCGGACGTACATCAAGTTTTAAGCAGACTGAAATTTGCCATGCAATTTTCAAGAAACTGTTGGAGAATAATTGGCTTTCTGAAAACACGATGCAGCAGGTGCACTATTGTCTTATGCCTAAATTTTCTTTTGATTTCAGGGCTCCATGTTGTTATGTGCTCTGACTGACTGTTCTCTGCCTCGATGAGTGATTTGTGTAGGTCAATATAATCATTTGGAAGTTTATCAACTAAATCTTCTCATTCTGTGCAGCTTTTCTGTGATAAATGTCAAAGATTTTTAGCTGATCGGTTTGTGGAGGGCAATTGCCCAACACCGGGTTGTAATTATGATTCTGCACGTGGAGATCAATGTGAAAAGTGCGGGAAGCTATTAAATCCGACTGAACTACTGGACCCAAGATGCAAGGTGGGCTCATAATCTTATTATCTTAAAACTTGATATAATCTCGTGAATTCATCTGCATATATCTGATGTAAAAGAATTTGTGATTCACCAATTGGGGTAATGAGGTCTCATTAGATTCATGATTCATGAAAGAATTGGATTTACAAGACTGTTCCTTAAAAGAGCAATACGGTGAACGGTTAGGGGTTGATATAAACTCACCTCTAAAAAAGAGCAGAGAGAGAGAATAAAACTTCAAAGAAATTTAAGCAACTGAATCCAAACTCTGGACTTGCTTTCTGAACAGGTCTGTCAGAATACTCCACATATTCGTGACACAAATCACCTTTTTCTCGAGCTTCCCCTGTTGAAGGACAAATTAGAGGACTATATCAACAGCATGTCAGTGGCTGGAGGATGGAGTCAGAATGCTATCCAAGCAACACATGCTTGGCTTAGAGAAGGGCTGAAAGCACGGTGTATTACAAGAGACTTGAAGTGGGGAGTCCCTGTCCCACTTGAGAAATTCAAAGACAAGGTGAGTTGAGAAAGTGGCTGTTGAAATGTTAGTGGCCTGTTCCCTATGTTTCTTTATATTAACTATTTCTGATTCTTGTCAAGTAACAAAATGTGATCATTGCTAGCGTGTTTCCATTCCTGGTAAAATCACAAGTTTTATTCACAATGTTGATTTTAGGTTTTCTATGTATGGTTTGATGCACCTATTGGATATGTCTCAATCACTTCCTGCTACACAACTGAGTGGGAAAAATGGTGGAAGAATCCTGAAAATGTTGAGCTTTATCAATTTATGGGCAAGGATAATGTGCCTTTCCATACTGTAAGTCATGTACTTCCAAATTTGTCAATTTTAAAATTACTTCAATTGAAAATTGTAGGATACTTCAGATGAGGCTGCATAAGAATCATTTCTTTTGTGCAGCGATGGCCTTAAGTTTTATATTATATCTTTTACTTAGTAGGAGATGTCTGATTCCATCAATTATGTTTTATCTCTACGTTCCCTTTGATTGTTCAACCATTATGCATTTTCGACTACACTTAGGTTGATGTTGGTATAGTTGCAATTGTCCTAGAAGAATAACCGATTAGTATATGTTTGTAAATAAATATCGATTCTTGTACAACCATGAATATAATTTCTTTCACGGTAATTACAATGGACATAGCTGCATTATAGTTTATGAAATTTTACCTAGGCAATTTATTGTATTTCTTAAACCCAAAAAGAACTCATTGAAGGAAAGCCTTTGCTACTTTTTTATTATTAAACTTTTAGATGCCAGGCTTCCAAATTTATTTGTTCAGATAGGTGCAGCATGTATCCTGTATATCTTCTTCGAGGAGACATTATATGTGGCTGCAGCTTAAGGTTTGTAGAAGCTGTTTATTATCTTGGATACATCATTTCCAATGAAAGAAAAGCACTGGAAGTGTTGATATTTTGGGAGTCCATTGAATTTATCCAGTTTCAGGTGTGTGAAGTTTCCACTCAAAGGATCATGAATGGTTTGTGTATATCCTTTTGGAAAAAGAGGATAAACTATGTGGATTATTGGAAGGAATATGATAGGATACCTGAACCCAATTGGAAAATTAATCAAATATTCAGAAACAAAAATGGAAGAACCAATAGTATATTGAAGGATAACAGAATGATAACAAATCCAGGGCTATTAGAGAGGTCGTCTCTAACTGAAAATCAGTACGTGAATGAATCCCTCTGCCCTTTCCCCTCATATTTATTTACATTTCCTACTTCAATACTATGACACTTTTACCCCTATCAAACTAACCCCCCTCCTGCTGACTTTGCAAGCTCCTCCTTCCTTCTTGCATAGGTGAACTGGATTGGGGGTCTATCAGAATCTTAGTAGATGAAGGAATGTGAATATAGTAATGAAGTTGGAGTTTAAACATATATGTTCGACTAAAATGAATGCTCCTGTTATAAATTGATGTTGGCTTTTTCTATATTGACTGAACAACTTCTGACGCTTAATATAATGAACATTTTCTAGTTAAAACTATTTATACATAATATTTTTTATGTTAATTTCTTTGTAGCAACAGATCCAAATCACTGAAATCATCTTTTGTATTCAGAAAATTGTGCATGTGTGTTCGTGTGTTCATGCTATATATGACTAGTGCCTATTTCTGAATGTAGTTTTTGGCCACTCACATGCCTTGAAATACTCCATATAGTCATAATTTGTTAGCTAGAACTTGTAATGAGTTTTATTTATAGTTTGTTCTACGTAACTTAATCTTGCTTCTGATGATTGGGGATGAGAAATTTTCAGGTAATGTTCCCATCCACTCTTCTTGGAACTGGTGAAAACTGGACTTTGATGAAGACCATCAGTGTTACAGAATACTTGAACTATGAAGCAGGTATTAGTTGAAATATTTGTAACATTCAGTTGAGCTAAAATATAATTATGGGAGAGTAAGGGTGGCATAACTCTATTGTGTTTCACAAGCCTTTTTTCCAATTGATTTACCGTCCAAATGCTTTCTTTGTGATATCTAGGGAAATTCTCTAAGAGTAAAGGTGTTGGAGTTTTTGGAAACGATGCAAAATATACGAATATTCCTGTAGAAGTATGGAGGTACTATTTGCTGGCAAATAGGCCAGAGGTAAGCTCTTGTCACCGTTTTCTTTACAATGTTATACTCCACAGTATCTCCATAAATCTTCTGCCCATCCAAACTTAAAAAAAAAATAAAAAATAAAAAAAATTGAAAGAGAACTGGGTGCTTATTTTATTTGCAATGGATAGGTATCGGACACATTGTTTACATGGACTGATTTGCAAGCAAAGTTGAACAGCGAGTTGCTGGGCAATCTAGGAAATTTCATCAATCGAGTCTTGAGTTTCATAGCAAAAGAACCTGGTTGGTTAGCTTATCCTGTTTCATAAAGCCTTTCATATGATACTTAGTGTTTGATGGGTTTCATTATAACCACCCTGAATGCAAAGAATGGCAATATATATTGGATGGAAAGACGTACTTTTTTCAGATGACATTTGGATCATTTTATGGCTGGGACTAATATATTCTCCATTTGCATTCCTTCTTTTTCACTGATCATGAAGTAACATGGTTCATTAACACTGTGTGTTCACTGTTCCTTTGCAAGAGCTCAAATTTCTTTCATTGGGTTTTGAACTTCTTGTGTTTATCATGAAAACAACTATTATTTTATGACCAAAAGATAACGATCCATTTCAGCAATACATATGGGGGCCACAAATTTACATAGAGAATGTTTCTTGTACTTTTGTTCAATTACGTTACTTCAGGTTCAGGATATGGCTCCATCATTCCTGATGCTCAGGGTGCAGAGTCACATTCATCAACAAAGGCATTAGGAGAAAAAGTTGGCAGTTATGTTGAGCTGTATATAGAAGCAATGGAACAGGTGACAGAAGTATCATGATCATTATCTTGTCCTTGAATAGATTTTCTCGGTATCATGTGATGAATCGGATGTGATGTAGGTGAAACTAAAGCAAGGCTTGAAGATGGCTATGTCGATTTCAAGTGAAGGAAACGCTTATTTGCAAGTACACATATAACAAATTCTACGTATATTGAATTACCATTTGTTTCTCTATTTGATGATCATGCTGACAATTCTCAACTTTATTCAGAGAAGGTGTTAAGTAATATGACCTGCCATACACCATTATTATACTCGTACTTTTCCTTGTAGGAGAGCCAATTCTGGAAGCTTTACAAGGGAGATCGAGCTTCATGTTCTGTCATTATGAAGACATCAGTCGGATTAGTATATCTCCTTGCATGTCTCTTAGAACCTTTCATGCCATCCTTTTACCGCGGGGTAATTCAACAACCAGTAGATGCAGTTTACATATCGTAGGTAAATTACTCGGAAAAGACTTTGTCAATGCATATGATGAAGCATTTATGTTCCATGGCCATGTAGGTACTTGCACAGCTCAATTTGCCTCTTGACCTTCAAGTTTCACTTTCTGATGGTGATGTTGAAAGGGCTAAAAGACCCTGGGAGATTCTACCTGCTGGTCATAAAATTGGAAATCCAGCACCATTGTTCAAAGAAATGGTACAAGTCTTTGCTTTTAGTTTTTTGTGCCAATTGCTGAAATAATTTACTCGTTGCACGCTGCTTATGAATCTGATGAAATAATATGCAGAAAAGGGAAGAAGTTGGGTTATTCAGAGAGAAATTTGCTGGAAGTCAAGCTGATAGGATTGCAAAAGCAGAAGCTGAAGCAAATAAAACTGCTGATAAACTGGAGGAAACAAAAATCTCAGGTCGCCCTCTTTATTTTCTTTCTAATTTACTTTATGGACACTTGTGATGCCCGTCTTCTCACCTTCTGATCATATGCGAAAACTAAGTAATTTATTTTCACAGTAACGTTGGAGTTACCTTTAAAAAATGTAAATGGACTAAATTTTACTTTAATATAACTTCACTTCTTTTTGAGGCTTACCCAAACATGCTCTACGGCTCGGTTACGTAAATTGTCGTGCAAACTCTTTACGATGCTATCAAACTCCAGCCGTGTTTATATATCGAAAATTTTATTTTATTTTCTTCTAAGATGTTTTTACTGCCTAACATTGATCACTATTTGGAATCTTATGGTAGGGGCATCTTAATTGGGAGAAGTATGCAATGGAAGAGAAGGAAATCTCATCAATGACAGAAAAAAATTGGTTTATGTGCAATTATTTTTACTGAAAATACTGATCTTCCATGTAATCTTATTTCATCTTTGAAGCTAATGATTTTATCTACTTGTACTGAAGGGGAGAAAGATGGATAATATAGTTTTTGTTCAGTTCGTAGATTCCATTAATTGATTTTAAAATCCTGACTAGAATCTCATTTTTACTGTTTTTGCTCAAGTTTTGGTGTTTGCAACTTGGCTTCGTGAATGGAATGTATTTTGATTGGTTGACCACGATAGTAACACAACGCTAAAGGATTCAGCACCTCTCTAGCTTTTAACTATAATTTCATAACGAGTCCTACTGGGGTCCGAAATCTGATCTCAATAGAATATGTAACAAGAGTTCTGATTAGTGTCTAAAAGTGCTTCAAAAATATATCATTTCAATTTATTTAAATTCACTGATGTTAGTCTTTAATTTCAATTCTCTTGCTGTAAATTCAATTTTCATAAATATATGATTAAAAATGTAATTAATTGAAATACGTATTTACATACATGTCGACATGAGTGTTATACATTTGAAAGAGTATTTATTTGATGTTTTTCACATATATTTTCAATTTAGAACAAGTGGAGCAAATGGAGGAAAAAAATTTTGAAAAGTCAAGAATAATGAGCTGTCTCAAGCAAGAAGCAGCTGTCGGTAAAATGATCATAACTTGAGCTGCAATTATTGAACTAAGGTGATTCGAGCCGGGTTGGAAAGATAAGGCATGTATCTACAACTTTTTTTGTTTTGCAAGAAGTCAAATTCGTATCACAAGGCAGTAGTGCAAAGTCCAGCTTGTCACCTGTCGAATACATGTTTTTTACCTATGAAGTAGCACTCATTGTTTTTGTCATATATGGAGTTATATAGAACCAATGAACCTAATATTTGCACCAATGGAAAGCTAAATCAAGTGGAAATAATTTATCTGTAATCATAAGTCCAAATTCGCTGCACAAAGTGTCTGAAAATTAGTATCAAGTTGCATGTTCCAGTTGTCTTGAAATTGGACAGAAACAAGTTGCATTGTCCACATGCATTTTGGATGTTCCTTTGCCTATAAAAAGGGACATTGGCCAAGATTTTGAGAGAATCAATTCCTCTCCATCATATTCTAGTTTCCTTCATTTTCTTTGTACATTTTATTATGTATTTCTAAACCATTAGCTAGAATTAGAGGTGAAACTTTGGTGAACGCATAGTATTGTCTTTGATCTTTCACTTTGTTCTTCAATGTTAATCTTCTTACTTGATTGAAGTATATGTTCTACAAATGGTTTTGGTTTGTTAAAAATTTTGATTTATTGTTGAGAAATTTTAGCACAATAAATACTTAGATAATCTCTACATACCAACAACTTATTTTGACATATTCTCTCAAACAATTATCAAGATCTATCTTTTAGTATATATGTGATTAATGTTTTATCTTCCATATGAGATCACTTCTTAGTTGATTTTCATATGAGTTAAATTAAAGATCAAGGGCAATTTCTATTCATTTATTCGAAGTGAATCCCCGAAGTTCTAGTGTTCTTCTCCATCGTATTTCCACCAACTATTTACCACTCATAGAATAATTTATTTCCTTCCAATTTCCTGTGGTTCAACCTCGGACTTTCGAGTTTACTACTTGCGACGACCTAATCTTAAAGTTGTAGCAAGTTCTTTATCCAATGTCAGCTTAGCATTTTTTGATAATGCAATAGGGTCAACGTCATGATGACCTGATAGTAACCCTTGTCAATTGACAATCAGAAACATGATTACTTGCACACCCTTGATCTCGTAATTGTAGTTGATTTGATTGACAAGAGAAGTTTCGACCAATAAGGAGCTTATTCTCTATATAAAAAGGAATGTAATGATACCCCTCGGAGGGGAGGGACTCGATGTATTCACTATGCGCACTTTCAATCAACTTTAGTCAATAAGAAAGGAAAACTCTTTTAAATTCTAGCAATTTACTTCTTGTTTATTATCAATTAAGTTGACAAAATAATCTAAGTCATTTTTGACGTCAATAGTTTGGCGCTAGAAGAAAGGCTCTCTCGTACAAGCTGCCTCGTTTCTCCACAAAAACCCACATAGAGTCAACCTACGACAAAATATCTTTATTGACATCTCGAAGTGAACGCGTCGATCTCAATTCAAAACGCCTATTAGAATGGGCGGAACCTGAAATAAGTGCCTTTAAGAAGCGTAGTGCTAATTTGGAAGCTAAAAACAAAGGAATTTTCGAGGAATACCTACCCAAATGCCACTCCCCTTCACATAAGACATTTTATCTAAACTTTTACCTGAGAAATTTAAGATACTTCGTGGATGAAACTACAAGGAGCAAGTGATGCCATCATTTGCCATGCCTTTCCATTAACATGAGGAGATAAAGCTCAAAGGTGGTTTAGGAGGCTACATCAAAGATCTATAAAAAACTGGACCGACCTCGCCATGACATTCCTAGCTTAGTTTATGGGTTACAAGGTTAAAACAATGCCCAACGAATGCTTGGTGAGCATCAAGCAAAGGAAAAGCGAGTCACTTAAAAGTTACCTCAGTAGATTCAACAAGCAATCCATGGAAGTTGAGAAGATCTCTGATGACATCACTTTCATGGTGGTCCTTTCTGAGCTAAGGCCTAGAACAATGTTCTGACATGAGGAAGGACCTCAAACATACCATAAATTCCTTAATTGAGCTGAAAAGTATATAAGTGTAGAGGAAGCAACCTCGGATCAGGAAAAGTAGAAAAGATAGAACCTCATACCCTAGGCCAAGAAAAGTAGAAAAAGTTGGACAAGTGAACCCCCATGAGAAAATGAAATATAAGAGGGAAAAGAGATCACCCTAAACCCTATCCAGAGAGGTTTCATAAGTATCATCTATTGAATGCTTCTTTGAAAAAGGTCTTCATGCAAATAGGATATAAAGAGGCGTTATATAGACCTCTACCTTAGAAAAAGAACTCAATTGGGAACAACCAGGGCAAGTACTAAAAGCACCTAGGCTAACAAGCTACAATATGGACAATTGTAGGAACATGAAAGAGAAAGTAGAATCCTTAATCCAACGGGGTCATTTGCGAGAATTTGTGGCTAAGGTTGGAGAAACAAACCGATCTCGTCTTCAATAGTCTTACCAACAAGGGATGGCCAACAATCAACTTAGCAAGTTCTTCTCCCAAATAGAAATCCTCCGTTCCATGTTGAGATCACATTGTTGATAGGTAGCAACCAAAACACCGAAAGGTCTATGAGGGAAAGGTGTAAACAATCTTAGGACTTGTGCATCTAGCAGAACTACGAGGTGGGATTATCTAAGTCCAACCCTAACACTATCCTATACCTAGAATGGTTTGGATTTTCAAAAGAAGATTCTCAAAGAGTTCTACAAAACCAAAGCAATGATTTGGTGATAAACATGACTGTTGTTGGAATTCAAATACGCTGAACTCTTATAGATAATGAGAGTTCAAGTCAATGTATTATATTCCTAAAATCTGGAACAAATGGGAATCCTCGAATGGTACATCTACCCATACTCTAGGAGATTGCAAGGATTCTCTGGAGATCCTATCGAAGCCCAAGGATAAATTACCTTAGTTGTGAAGCTTCTTGCTAAAGGAAAACCATAAACGGATTTCGTAGTTGTCAATCTGCCTTCCAGCTACTACTCCATATTAGGTAGATCTATATTATATGAATTAAAGAGAGCCAATTCGATTTGCCATTATTGTATGAAGTTCCCCACTCCCAGTGGAGTCGGAGTACTACATAGAGACTAAGCCAACCGATTCGATCCGAGCTCTCTTATTAAATTGCTCATTGAATGGCATCGATCAACCTAGACCCCATATCTAGATGTTGAGGGATGGGCAAAGTATTCAAATTAGGGAGGTAAGGTTGAAGAGACCTCAGTAGTCGACCTCACTAAGATCAAGTATTACCGAAAAACAACGCAAAGGCCCAAAGGATGACCACCTATCATTTGATGATAAGGAAACAGACCCACATCCTTATCCTGGAGTCCTAGTGATCTCAATATCTATAGCTAGATTTACCATCCGGTCTTGGTTTACACATGTACTGCCCTCAACATAGTCTATACCAACACGCTGAAATGCATAGGATTCCTGTTACATTTCTTATAACCATATCCAAATATGGTTTTAGGACTGAATGATGTTCTCACTAAGGCAAATGGGGCTGAATAAGCCTGTTGTTGGGGCTAGCGAAAAACTATGCCAAACTAAATTAAATGTCGAGTTCATGATGTTTGATTCTACTTTACCTTATGATGTTATTATGGGGTAGCCCTATTGTTTAACCTCAAAGTAGTCGTGTCCATGTACCATTACTCACTCAAATTTCCCATACCTCATGGTGTAGATAAGATCGAGAAAGATAAAGAAGCAGCTGAGAAATGCCAGATGAAGATTCACCCAGTCAAGAAGGATGCACATACTTCACCAGGTGTGTATATGGTGTACATGTTCAGATCGGACCTCAACCCAAGCTTGAAAATTAAAGGTGAGAAGCCTGTACAAGAATTGGATAAAGTGTCAATTAGTCCGAATGACCCACCAAGGGAACTCAAAATAGGCCACGAAGTCCAATCACCCATCAAGAGCCACATAGTATAGCCCCTCCAACAAAATCTTGATGTCTTTGCTTGGAATCTCAGATATGGAGGGAATTGATGTATCAACATCTTGTTAATTTCATCTTTTCCAAACAAGTTGACAAAATCATGGAAGTACATGTTGACGACATGTGTCAAAAGTATAGATGCAAAAGACTATCAACAATACCTCACTAAAATGTTTGAAATCTAGATAAGATACAAGATGAAGCTATATTAGTACAAATGTTCCTTCAGTGTGAGCTCTGAAAAATTCTTAGGCTATTTAGTAAATCACCGGGAGGATCGAAGCAAATTCGAAAAAGATATGAACAATCATCAAAATGAAAGCACGTGCAAGGTCCAAAGAGGTTCAATGCCTAACTGAAAGAATAACTTTCCTCAGCAGTTTCGTGTTAAAATTGATGGATCAGTACAAACCATTTTTTGATATCTTGCAAAGAGAGAAGAGTTCGAATGGACCCCCGAACGTCAAATTATCTTTGATGAACTAAAAAACAATTAGCTTAACCACAAGTCCTATCAAAACCTAAAGCTTGCAAAACTTTAGTGTTGTACCTTGCCGTGTCGAAACAAGCAATTGGTATTGTCGTAGCTAAGGAGAAAGAAGGGATACAACATTCCATTTACTAAGTTAGCAAAGCTATCCACAAATACTTCCCGCTTAAGTACTTTGCTCTAGAGAAATTGGCCTACGTCTTTATCATCATAGCCGGAAAATTAAGACCATACTTTCTGGAACATCCCATCGAGATTATAAAGAATTACCCATTGAAATAGACTTTGCAAAAACCTGAAACCTCAAGTCAGATGGTCAAATTGGTTGTTGAGCTCGGCCAATTTTGACATAAGGTACAAGCCTCGCACCTTTAGGCTCTTGCTAACTTTTTTGCAGAGCTCAACATTGAGCCAATAGAAGAACTCCCACATGATGCCTCTTGGGAAGTCTTTGTGGGTTCTTCAGCTATAGCCCTGTTAGGAGCTGGAGTGGTTGTGATCAATCCCAATTCACACCTATTTTGTGAAGCCTTGTCATTTGACTTCAAGGCCTTCGACAATGAAGAACACTGAAGTGCTCAATATAGACCATACAGATTGATATTTCTATTTTGTGGCTTTGTTGAACATTGAGCTAGTTCACATTGTGATTAACCTATTATTGACTTGTAGAGTAGCTTATTCAACCAAGTCAAGAAAAGCACTAGCACAAGTAGTTTGATATATTTCAATAACAATATTAGGTTGTGTTTGATAGGAGTGGAGTTCCATGGAAAATGGAATTGGAATTCCAACTTTTCCAATTTTTGAGTGTTTGATTGGCAAAAATTTCCAAGAAATTCATTTTCCACATTTTGGTGTCTCATAGGTTTTTTTCCATCTTTTGAAGGAAAATGAATGGTGAGAATTCAATTTTCGGTTTAAGGTATCAACTTCCTTTTTTTTTTTTTTTTTTTTTTTTTTTTTTGGCAATGGACATAAATCCTAAGAATTATTGTAAAAAAATATTTTCCTTTAATTGACAATTTTCATGTAAAACAAAGTCAAACAAATACCAAAAGATAGATGATTTTCTTGAATTTTTTTATTTTTTTAACAATGAAAACAAATTTCATTCGCAATACCAGTAAAATTTATCCCTTTAATTAACAATTTTTATATAAAACAAAACCAAACGAATACCAAGAAACACTTTTATTTTAAAATTTTTAGAAAATTATATCAATCAAATACAATAATTTACAATTCTCAAGAAAACAATTTTTAGGTATTTCAATTTCCTTGAATTCGTTTTCTTTCCACTCAAATTCTATCTTTGCGGTCAAACATACCTTTAAAAAACCAAGCATTTCAAGTTTATATGATCATCATTGTTACAGAAAATTTGTCAACAAACATAGAGGACCAAAGTTCAAGAATAGCATCACTGACAATGACAAAAGTCGAAAATTTAGCGAGCACCAAAGCATAATGCTTTATGTCATTGTGCTCCATACAAGCAAATCTCGACATTTAAATTTTGGTTGTTTCCTGGTAAATAATACTAATTCTTTAAGACACAATTTGTAAAGCGCAACCATCAACCTTGATAATAATTATATCACAAGACTCGGTATTACATTTATCAATGACAAGGAGAAAAAAGTCAAATGACAAAGTTCGTGGGGGGGGGGGGGGGGGGGGGGTTGGATAAATTTTATCTTAGCCCCTGTTTGGCCCCCATTATTTTAATTTATAGTGGAGGAAATAATATTTTTTTGAAGATTGTGGTATTGAAAAGTTTTCGATTTGAGTGTAATATTATTTTATTGAAAATTGTGTAGAAGAGAGAAAAATTTAAATTAAATTAAATTAAAGAGTTTTAAAGGGGCCAAACGGGGGGCTAAATGGTGAGGCATAGTAAGGAATAATATTTAACATCTTGTTCTTTATTGTTGTTTGATAAATTTTATTACATAAGATTGAGATCACATGTTATCTGATTGAAGCTCACACAAGCAGGATTATCACCCTCACTGGTGACAAGAATGCCAATTGTTGCTTGCAACCTCCGCACCATTGATCTATTTCCCACTATGATTGATCTGGCTTTATCAATTAAATATTTCTCTTTTCGTTTTCCTTCTTGTTCTTTTTATTTTTTTATACAAAAGTAAATTCGATTTTGAATATCTCTTTATTACCTAAAATAGCCTCTAAAATCATCCAAACTAATTACTGTTTGCAAAATCCTCAAGATAAGGATTAGAAAAGTAATTTTCAAGGAAAACCTCCCATAGAAAATTTTAAAAGAATCTTCAATCCAAGAAAATCAAGGTCAAGGGTACTTTGGTCAATTCGAAGTCGAACGCAAACCTTTATAATCCTGTCAAGGCTTTTTCCTTCACCTTCACCTTCACCTCCAAAACTATCGTAAATCTGCGCGTATTTTCTTGAAGCTTCAGTGGAATTTATCAGTAACAATGGAGATTACACAGAGTTCCAAAAACCCTGTGGAACCAGTGGGACGTGTAATTTCTTTCTTTCTCTTTTTTTCCTTTAATTCGTATATTTCCATGAATTTTCAGCGTATGAAATTGTTCAGTATTGCTAAGATTGGATGATTTTATACATGTTGATTATTCAATTAGAAACATATGGTCATTTGATAGTATTGAAACGCCCAGACTCATTCACTTGTTGCAGCGTATTCTACGCATTGATATTATTATTTCATAGTATATAGGCAATCATTTATCCTTTTTAGGCCTTTTTGTCCAAATTGGTTGGCCAAAATGCCCGATTTATTTATTTGCTTGGTCACATTGGCCTTTTTTTCAATAAAAGAGGGTTTTTGGAAACTTCCTTTTCAAAAATGATATCAAGCGCTGATTCCTTCACCAGCAGAGTGTTGGTTTGTGGGAAACTTTATTCTTATAGCAAACTGTAAGATCATGCTGATAAAAGTTTCATTCTACTAGAAGTCATATAAAATAGATCCCAGTTATTGTAAATCTCACATTTCTTAATTATTTTATCTGTTTTGTAGACAGTTGAAGTTGGGACTTCCCGCAGAGGTGCAGTTGCTACCCAACCTGGAAATTTGCAACTAAGAGCATCTGGTGGTAATCTTTAATGTTGTTCTCACAAGTTTTGTGTATGAAATTTCTTAAGCAGAATCTTTTGGGCTAAGACAATGGGTTGCTGCAGAAGTTTTAGTTTATGTAATTTCTTTATGTCTCAGATGCTTCAGCCGTTCATCAGGACTTCAGTAAGAATTCTTCTAGTAAAAGACAAAGGTACAAGAAAAGAAATAGAACAAAATCTGACGGGTCAGAAAGTCTTTCCGATATTGATGACTCTGAGGTATATGCTTTGTTTTTTCACATGCATTATTTGTTTAAAGTCTGGCAATGGTTTTTACAAGTGTTTTTCTTATAGAGGTAAGTTCACTTTCATGCTTTGCATGAGAATACCTTTACTTTTGTTTGAATAATCAAAACTTCTATGCACCCTGGAAATTTCTAATGCTTCTTCTTTTGTCCTGTACCTTGCTGAACTCTGTTAATGAAATCTTTTTGGTCGTTGATAATATCTAACATTTTCACAGCTGATAAGTCAGTAAGAATTACATCTTGTGAAAATGAAAAGGATGCATAGTTCAGAATATGAATGGGAATCAAGCATTTATAACTAGAGCCCTGAGTTGGAGATTCATTTGAGCAAATTTTTATGCTTTTCAGACTGTTGGATATCTTAACAAAAAGGAGATGCATTTGAAAAGGATGTTATGGGAAGCAATGAATAAAGAACATGTAACGGTAAGGCCTTGTTTACTAGTACTCCTCAAAATCTGCATTGCATTTTGAGTAATTTGGCAGAATTTCTAGCCTATAATTTGTTTTATTGAGGGTTATTGGCCTATCTTACCAGCCTTACTTCACCTCAATGTTCTCTTACATTTCATCTTGTTTTAGCTCAATTAAAGTGTGGTTTGTGTTCTTTTACCTTTTTCCACTGTATGGGCATATTTTTCGTATTTCTATCCTTTTTTTGTCTGTGTATTATTTTATTTTCTTTCTTTTCGATAAGTAAGTTAGGGTGGAGAGTTATGTTATTCAATCTGCTCACTCTCTCTGAATGTATTTTTGTGATTCGTTTAGATACAATCTATAGATTCTAGGCTTCTAGCTTTCACATAGGTGCTGGCCAATAGAATTATTGAACTATACGTATTTGTCCTGCTGTCATGATGTTTGATCTTTTATGTACTTGTATTATTAGGGGAAATTATAATATGTGGTAAAATATAATGTGAGTTTTGATTGTGCAAAATAGTCTCTGTGCGACGAGATTATGATATTCTCTTCATTAAGTCACAATATGTGACTAATATTTCTTTTAAACCATAGAAATTAAAGCATTCCTTTTCTTGGGTGTGAGTTTGGCATATATCCTTCGTATTTATTAATAACATTGAAAGAAAAAAGTATGATCAGATTTATTTGATTGGAGAATTTGTTTTTGAAATATCTAGTTTCATCTTCAAAACTTAGGTATCTTGAAGAATTTAGTTTTACCTCCAAGCTAATTTTTTAAAAGAATTAATTCTTAGCTAATTCGAACTTATGAAGTTATGTTCAATGAGGCAGTAATTGGAGCACCTTTATCATAACTAAATTATTTCAAGAGAAAGTGAAATCGGATTTCTTCATAAATGAACTAATGGGCAGCACTGTGAATAAAATTTTCCCATAAACTACTGTGCATAACTCCTTTTTATCTTCTTCCCTCGACCTCACTTTCATCGTGTTCACATTTTCTGCCGATGCCATGCAACTTAAGTATAGCGATTTCAGGTCTCATATATACTTCTTATCCGATATTACAAGAAAACCTGTTTTCAGCATTTTAGTAGTCTTTCAAACATTTATTAGCTGATGTAGTGCCCTTATATTTTATCGATATTGATGTGAACACTGAACAGCTTATGATATTGCGACTTGTCTTTAGGTTTCAACATTCCTTTACCTACGTTTCCCTCACTGTAAGATCTGAAATTTTCAATTGGAGTTAAATTTGACTATTGTGTAAATTGGTGATAAATTTCAGGTTAAGAAACAAAAACCAGCAACTGAAACAAAGAAAACTACATCTGCAAGAAAAGCTGTTAAAACCATCGAGAAATTGGAACAACAGGTAAAAAATTAGGTTCGATGAGAGTTTTTGTTTGTTTGCTATCTATTTGCTACAATACGATGAAAAACTCAAGATATTATTGATGGTGACAGGAAAATTATGGTCTTTTGTCATTTCTTAAATTTCTTGTTGTATGACGATTTCAATCTCTACAAGCTGGAGTATGTTTGCATTGTATTTTACAAGTGATGATATGAATCCTATTTTTGCAGAAGAGAAGTTCAAGAATCAATTACGATGCTTTGAGACACCTAAATGATGATATGGTATGTATTTTATGCTTTTGTTTTGGTTTCGTTTTTATTGGGTCGGAAAGTGTAAAACCAACATGTAACTAGATTAAGGATTCTTTGCATTTCTTGTTTTAGGTAACTTTGTTATTTATCATTTCAAGAACAATGTTCTGGTACGGCACACAACATCGATTTGAAACTTGATTCTTGCAGAAATGATTATTCACAGAACGAAAGCATTACCACATCCAAAATGTAAGGATCTGAAGAGGGCAATTATGAAGAAGATGAAGATCAACAGCAGATCATTTGTGGCGAAGATGATTTTATATACAGTCTTCATAATGATGCAATGCCTTATGAGTATGAAGATGAATATAATAAAAATTTTGATTTCGAGGATTAGTTTGGAGATAGCTGGGAATCATGGTTTTTGAACAATGTCAAGTAGTTAAATAATTTTTGAGGCAGTACTTACTATATTTCTATTGAAAAATACCCCCCAACTCCACTTGAATTAAAATTTTGTTCTATAGTGTTTCTCCATAAAATTGATCCAATATTCAGTCAGTATTCTTCTTGTAAATAAAGGACCTCGTTCTTATGTCTTGCTTATCTTCGCTATATCTCTTTTGTAAAGATTATTGTGGTGAACTTTCTTGTCATGCTATCGTATGCGATGGTACCTAAGCTAGATAAACAGTCAAAAATGTTGTTTGCAACAGCATTACACACTTTGGTGACACTGTTGGAAAAGTAAAGCAAGAATGCCTGTGAACTGCAAATATGGGACTTATCGAGGATTCCCTGTCGACATGCTATTGCTTGCGTACTCGATAAGGGTCATGAGCATGCTATAAATCCCATCAACGGCAAGGCGTTGTCGTCTGAAATTGGATAACTTGTCAGCCAGTATCAAAGCAATGGCTATAAATGAAGAAGTTTTCGAACTTAAAAACTGTAAGGTACTAAAGATTCGGGAAATACACCTTGTGTCCTTACAAATCCGTGCACACTTTCTGAATCAAGATCAGTATACCAATGACCTTTCTAGTTTCCATAAGAGGCCACATTAATTTTAATAAAGTTCACTACAATTGGGTAAATTTTGTCTGCTTATATGTAAGTTCATTGAGTGATAATTATTATAAATTAATACATCTTGCTAATCCATGAATTTATGTAATCATCGAGAGCGTAAATCATACAAAAAAAATATCATTTCTGATTATCACACATTAGGCAAACTGTGTGGTACAAGAACAACAACAAATTACGCGAACTTTCGAATTGAAAACCAGGAAACAACAGATTTTATGCTAAATCAATTAAAAATTTCAACGAAAAATAGGGTTGATCGTCATTGAAAAAGACAATCCAATGGTTTAGTTGCCAACTTGTGTTGACATCAGACAACATTAAAAAATTTAAAACCTAATCCTGTCCGTTTATATACGTAATGTGTAACTCAAAAATCAGACGACGTCAAAATTTTCGTTAAAACCCTACAGGTGTGGAAGCGGAATCATCGAACAAGAAGCTGAAGCAATTTGTTTATTCATCTCCCCTGCTTGAAGCAAAGCGTTCAATTCCTCTTCAAATGCTTCAAGTTCCTGCAAATCCATAGTTTCCAAGTTTTCGTTCTGCCCCCAAAATCCCCTCGTTGCCTCATCATTTTCAATTCTTTCTTCAACCAAAAGATTGTGGGCAATTGGGTTTGACTCAGTAGAAAAGGAATCATCAAAAAATTGGTACCGGTTCATCTCCCTTGCTTGAAGCAAAAAGTTCAATTTCTCTTCAAATGCTTCAAGTTCCTGCAACTCCATAGTTTCCATGTTTTCGTTCAGCCACCAAAATCCCCTCGTTGCCTCATTGTTTTCACTTCTTTCTTCAACCAAAAGATTGTGGGCAGTCGGATTTGACTCGGTAGAAAATGAATAATCAAGAAATTGGTACCGGTTTAGAATGGATTCCACCGAGGGTTCGCCAAAAGTGAAAAATTTGTTCCCCGGAGATTGGATGAGGATTGCAATATTTGCGCCACACAATAGGCTCGTTTCCGCTGCCTTTTTGAAAAGACCGCTTCGCCTCTTTGAGAAGGTAACCTGAAGACTGTTTTTATTGTCAATTTTCCGAATTTCAATCTTCCGCCGACCCATTGTTTTCTTCTCCAGATTGTTGTTAGACTTCGTCATGGCTGAAAAAGGGAGAGAAAATTTTGATCGATGCGGAAAGAGTTCAGTAGAGAGTGTTTTTGGAGGGAAAGAGAGGTGCAAATATTGGTTTTTTAACGGTAAAATTTTTTTTTATGTAAGAATGAGTCGGTGCTAATTTTTGAATTGCTAACGGTAATATTCTGAGGTCAAGGGTTCCACTTAAACTACTCTGCGCATATCCACTTTGAAACTTCAGCGGTATTTCTCTATCGATGGAGATTACTCAAAGTTCCAAAAACCCTTTGAAGCTACCTGTACGCGTAATTTCTTTCTTTCCTTTTACTCCCTTGCAACTCGTATATTTTCATGAATTTTCAGCTCATGAAATTGTTAAATATTGCTAAGATTGGATGAATGTATACGCGTTGATTATTCTACGCAGTGATATTACTATTTCAGTGTATAGGCAGTCATTTACCCTTTTTGTCCAAATTGATTAGCAAAAATTCCCGAGTTATTTATTTGCTTGAAGATCAGTCTCATTGGCGTTTTCAATTTTTCTCCTGTTTTTTATTATTATTTTATTCAATAAAAGAGGGTTTTTGGATATTTTTTTTTTTTTTTTTTTCAAATATGATATCAAGAGCTGATTCCTTCACCAGCAGGGTGTTGGTTTATGGGAACTTTATTCTTTTATCGAAGTGTAAGATGATGCTGATAAAGTCCTTGTAAGGTTTCATTCAACTAGAAGCCATATAAAATAGATCATAGTTATTGTAAATCTCACATTTCATATTTATATTATCTGTTTTGTAGATGGTGGAAGTTGAGACTTCCTGCAGAGTGGAGTTGCTACCTGACCTGCAATGTTGCAACTGAGAGCACTGGCTGTAATCTTTAATGTAGTTCTCATGAAATTTCTTATGCAGAATCTTTTTGGCTAAGACAATGGATAGCTGCAGAAGTTTTAGTTAATAAGAAAAGAACTAAATCTGGTAAAAACAAAGGTACAAGAAAAGAAGTAGAACTAAATCTAATGGCTCAGAAAGTCTTTCCGATGTTGATGATTCTGAGGCATATCCTTTGTTGTTTCACATGCATTATCGTTTAAACTCTGGCAATGGTTCTCACAAGTGTTTTTTATGATGGTAAATTACTTTCATGCTTTCCATTAGAATACCTTTTCTTTTGTTTGAATAATCAAAACTTCTATGCACCCTGTAAGTTTCTAATGCTTCTTCTTTAGTCCTGTACTTTGCTGAAATCTGTTAATGAAATTTTTTCGTTCGTTGATAATATCTAACATTTTCACCAGCTGATAAGTCATTTAGAATTTCATATCGTGAAAAAGAAAAGGATGCATATTTCAGAGTATGATAGGGAATCAAGCATTTATCACTAGACACCTGAGTTGGGGAAGCATTTAAGCAATTTTTTATGCTCTTCAGATTGTTGGATATCTTAACAACAAAAAGTTGATGCATTTGAAAAGGATGTTATGGGAAGCCATGATTAAAGAACATGTAAGGGTAAAGCCTTGTTTACTAATACTCTTCAAGATTTGCTTGCATTTGGGGTAATTTGGCCGAATTTCTAGTCTACAATTGGTTTGATTGATGTTATTGGACTATCCTACCAGCCTTGCATCACCTCAATGTTTTCTTACATTTCATCTAATTTTAGCTCAATTAAGGTGTGGTTTGTGTTCTTTTACCTTGTTCCTCTGTATGGGCATATTTTTCCTGTTTCCTTCCCCTTTTTGTCTGTTTATTATTTTATTTTCTTTCTATTCTACAAGTAGGCTAGGATGAAGTGTTATGTTAATTCGGATGCTCACTCTCTCTTTATGTATTTTTGTGACTTTAACATACAATCTATAGATTCTAGGCTTCTAGCTCTCACATAGGTGCTAGCCGATAGAATTATTAAATCATACGTATTTGTCCTGCCGTCATGATAATTGATCTTTTATGTCCTTGAATTATTATGGAAGAATGTAATATGTGAATAAATATAATATTAGTTCCGATTGTGCAAAATAGTCTCTATAAGATGATATTATGATATTCTCTTCTTTAAGTCACAATATGGGATCAATATTTCTTTTAAACCGTAGAAATTAATGCATCCCATTTCTTGGTTGAGTTTGGCATATGGACGTATTTATTTATAACATTTAAAGAAGAAATTTGATCAGATTGATTTGATTGGAGAATTTGTTTTTGAAATGTCTAGTTTCACCTCCAAAGCTTAGGTATCTTGAAGAATTTTGTGTTGTCTCCAAAACTAATTTTTTAAAAGAATTAATTTTTAGCAAATTCCAACTTATGAAATTATGTTCAATAGGCAGTAAACGCAACACCATTGTCTTAACTAAATTATTTGAAGAGAAAGTGAAACCAGATTTCTTCAGACAGGGGCTATCTGGCAGTACTATGTGAGTAAAATTCTCCCAGAAACTAATGTGCATGACTCCATATTATTTTCTTCCCTCCATCTCGCATTATCTGTGTTTATGTTTTTGGTCAATGCCATGCAACTTAAGTATACCGATGACAGGTCTCATAATTATTTTTTATACAAAATGTAATGAGAAACACTGTTTTAAGCATTTTAGTAGTCTTCTAACCATTTCTTAGCTGATGTTGAAATATCTATAGGCCCCTTACATTTTATCGATATTGATGTGAACATTGACAGCTTATGATATTGCGACTTGCCGGTTTCAACAGTCTTTTTCATACTTTTTCCTCCCTGTAAGATTTAAACTTTTCAATGTGGGATTAAATTTGACTGCTGTCCAAATTGGTGATAAATTTCAGGTTAAGAAACGAAAAACAGAAACTGAAACAAAGAAAACTACCTCTGCTCGGAAAGCTGTTAAAACCACCGAGAAATTGGAACAGCGGGTAATAAATTAGGCTTCAATGGGAATTCTTTTTTCTCTTTCTGTTTGCCACAGTACGATGTAAAACTCAAGAAATGGCTAAGAGTAATAGGGAAATTATGGTATTTCGCCATTTGTTAAATTCTTGTTGTATGACGATTTCAATCCCTACGAGCGAGCTGGAGTATGTTTGTATTGTATTTTACATGTGATGTTGACATGAATCAATTATGATGCTTTGAGACTTCTAAATGATGATATGGTAAGTGTTTTATACTCTTGTTTTGGTTTCATTTTCATTGGGTCGGAAAGTGTAAAACAAACATGTAACTCGAAAAAGGATTCTTTGCATTTATTGTTTCCCATAACTTTGTTAATTATCATTTCAGGAACATGGTTCTGGTATGGCACACATCGATTTGAAACTCGATTCTTGAAGAAATGACCATTCACTGAACGAAAACATCACCACACCTAAAATGCAAAGATCTAAAGAGGGCAATTATGATGAAGAATCTTCATAATGAAGATCACTTGTGGCGACGATGATGTTATATTCGGTCATCATAATGATGCGATGTCTTACAGGTTTGAAGATGAATATGACGAAAATTTTGATTTCGAGGATTAGTTTGGAGATAGCTAGAAATCGTTGTTTTAGAACAATGTCAAGTAGTCAATTAATTTTTGAGGCAGTGTTTACTACAATTGGGTAAATTTCGTTCGTTTATTTGACTATTTTAGTCGTTATTTTTTTATTTCTTCACTTATAGGTGGGACCGACTTCTCTTTCTAACTGTCAAAAAAAGGATTCTCATAATCCCTACCGAACAGACCCTAAATTATTATGGAATATAAATGGGAAATGTGAGATGATAGACAAAAAATTTTTCGTGAAAAATTAAGACAGGCATTGCCATGAAAAGGTGTATAAAACAAAATTACTTATAGAAATGAATATCGTTTTGAAAAATCTATGTAATTTTAATTAATTTTTAAATAGTTAAAGCCTACAATTTAGTAAGTCCTACAATTGAAGACGCCTAGTATTTAATTTTAGTTAAAGATTGCAATCATTTTGTTATTCATTTGTTTAAAAGATCATTGGGCTATACGAGTTATCCGTAATAATTATGATCCATACCTTTAGCCAATTGAGCTCTTGAGTTTTGAAAACGAGTGTGGTGCTATCATTTAAATGTCCCAAAAGATTGTGCCACATTGGATCACCCATATTTGGGTTGAATTGGGAGTACGATTTCCATTACTCAAATTCAATTGAAGGACGAATAACCCTAGTTCATAATTTGGGGGTTTGAGGTTTGTGAAGATGGCTATTGTGTGTTACGTTCAAAATTGGTTTTCTTCATTTTTTTTTAATTAACAAAATAGATCTTAAGCTTATCATTCGGGATTTTGGTGACGTGACGACTAACATCTAACTCGTGTCCCATGTTAAATTTTGTAGTTGACATCGTCAAATTCATTAACATTTCAATAAACAAGTGACAAAGTGACATATGTAATAGATTTCCATAAATTCAGTAGTAGCTTGAAAATATTTTTCAGGGTCAAGTGGGAAACAATTAGAATGCTTTAATGTCACTTGGGTTATTTTACACCATTTAAGCCAAAAGCAAAACACAATGCTCGAAATCTTTCATAGAATTAAAAGATTAATTTTAATTTGTAAAGCTTCAACAAAATTCTAATGCCATGTATTAAAAGTCTGGCTATATCTAATCTTACCCAAATACGAATACACTGCCACGATTGTCTCATCCCAATGTCTTGCACGAACCTCACTATCGAGAATCAGAGGAACATTGCATACTTTAACCCAGAAAGAATAGTGGTTGAAATTATGTGTTTACCAAATGCTCAAGTCTAGTCCCGTGCTTGGTTTGGATAAAAATTAGATTTTTAGTAGATTTTGATTTTTTTTTAAATTGGTAAATGTGTAGTTGAAAAGTTGATAAAATTATAGATTTCATGAAATGTGTGATTAAGCCCTTGTTTGAGTCCCATTTTTTTGGGAAGAACAAATTTTTTAATAGTGTATTGATAGGGAATGTATAGTTAAAAAATAAGAAAAAGTTTTGAATTTACGTGTAATATTATTCTA